TTTTGCTGCCCCCTGACTGTCAACCTTGCCATCTCCCCATGTCTCCCCTCCGTAGGCAGTGAGGAGCAGAGTGTTGACATTGGGCTTTGTCCAAATATGTAGTCTGTGGGGCTGGAAGGTGGTAATGACAGCCAAGAAAAACAGCCTGGCTCTGAGTCTGACAACCAGGCTTGTCTCTCTGATGAAACTAAATGAAAACAGTATTTTCTATCCTTATCATTTCCTCCCTCCCATCCTCCATCCTTCTCTCCCTCCTTGTATCCCTCTCTCTCCGCCTCTGATGCCTCTCTAATTTGCAGTTCCTTATTCAGTCAGTGCTCGCTTAACACTCTGGGACTGGCTGTAAGGGTGTTACTATGATAATACATAGGCAACTTTCTGACCACAGCGCCTATGACATATATTTAGCTGTAAGCAGAGATGTATTCATTTTCATGAAGCCAAGTGGCGCTGCATGCATACGCGCCACCATCACAGGTAACTTGGGGGTTCACTGTCGTGCCCAAGGACACTTTGACTTGTGGACTGCAGGCACTGAGATTTGAACCTTCAACCTTCTGTTATGGGAGACAACTGCTCTACCCACCACACCACTGTCACCCCATTGCATAGCTTGTGGTTATATTGTAAACCAGTATATTGTAAACTATATTGTTAAAAGTGCCTGGACTACTTAAGTGGATGCAATTGTATCATGGAGGTAATGGCTTGAGGAGGTGTCAATCCCAGGAGAGCAATAATATAAATTAAGCTGATTGAAATAAGTAGATTTAACACGTGTCTAATGATTCTAAGAAACTTGACACCACCCTCTCTCTAAAATACTTAAGTCCTTGAACCTGTTGTCTAGTTGTGAGGTTAAAACAACAGCCTGACACTGAGAGAGACCATACACTGCTGAATTATAAGTGGATGTGGTTGTGAGGATTGGTGCATGCACTCTAGTCTTTGCAGTGTGTGTGTGTGTGTGTGTATGTGTGTGTGGATAAAGGTCAGGAGGGAGCGCAGGATAGAGGAACAGATGTGCGCTGTATTGTGATGGTGTGCATGGACGGATGGGGACCAGGTGCAGCCTTTGTGTCCCTGGCATTTAAGTCCACTCACTCACATTCAGTTGCCTCGTGCCTCCCCTCCACTCCACTCCCCTCCCCACATCTCCCTCCTCCTTCCTCCTCTCCTTGGAGGGAAGGCAAAGTGCGTTTGTGTGTGTATGTGGAGGAGGGGGCTGCCTTGGCTTAGTGGAAGAGCCCCCTCCCCTTCTCCCTCACAGGTGACTGTTGGAGGTCCCAGCTGGCCAGCTCTTGGCCGATTAGTTCCATATGGTATAGGAGGAGGAGGAGGAGGAGGAGAAGTGCCCATCACTTGCATGGGTGCTAAGGGGGCTGTTGGCTTGCCCCGTGTTTGCCATGCGCTTCAAGAAAAGTCCTATTTGTTACACTTTTTCATTTGACATATCACTATCATCACTTCCTGTATATCTGTGGATAATTTTAAAGTTATCTCAACACTCAGCTAAGCACGCCCTATCCTTATCTTCTTGTGTAAGTCTTGGATTTTAAAGAATAAGTGAGCTGACCTCACACAGTTGTAGCATTTCACATGCTGTGAATTGTCTTTTTACACACTGATAAATTAGTCAGGCCTGCCTTACATCTCCTCTCACCTCATCTACAATGACAAGACAGTGATAGCAGCATGACACAGCTACACACACAAAGCGACATCACAATACACTTTTGCACACATGTGCCTAATGACTCACAGCTGCCTAAGCTTTCACAGAGAGTTTAAACTTCAGAGTTAAACCATGAGCTCAATAAACCTAACACTGAACACATTTATTCATACAGTACATCACATGGAGCCTAATTTATTCTGATTCAGTGGGTTGTCCATCCTTACTCACTGTGAGGACCTAAATGAATGCTCTCTGGATTATATTTGCCTCGTCATTTCCAATTTAATTAATTTAATGGATTGCTTTCAGTCGCAGTAGTGGCTCGGTGGTGTTTTTTTGCTCTCTCTCTCTCTTTGAGCCTCATTCTGTATCACCTGCAGAAGCAGAGGCAATTAAAGCAGAGTGAATGTTTTAATGCAGATGAGCGTCACCTGAAGCTGAACAAACAAGGAACACCTGGCTAGCAACAACAACAACCATCACCACAGATGCACATTACTTTTCCATCCCTGCAATAACAACTGTTGTGGAAGGCAAATAAGCCAGCCCAAGTAACTTACAAGACAATAAAACTTTATACGTGCATCAGTTTGAGAAGAGATGAGAGAAAATAGCAGGCAAAGAAGCAGCACAGAACGGTATGATCAGAATTCATCATTATTTTTGCTTGTATTAGCCAGAAATGTCAGAAGTGTTTTATACGATTGCTCTCTAAGCCAGTTTTATATTCAACACACACTGGTCTGCTCAGACTGTTATTCCCTTTGTTTTAAAGTGTTGTCTGTGCTTCGTGGCAGTTCCATGTGATCCTGTTGATGTGTGGTGAAGAGCCGTGTGCACCTTCTCTTTGTTCTATTAGAGCAACGATGACAGGTGGCATTTAGACCAAGACAAACACCCACATCCTCTTCTAAGCCAATATTCACCTGAGTTAACATTTGACCACTTTGTACACTGTGGTTTTGTGTGTGTGTGTGTGTGTGGCTGCTGTGACGGCTGCCTTTCCCAACAGTCCTGTGACTGTATATGGTGGACTCAGGTGCTCACAAGCCAAATGAAGTCATCCAGCTATGGGTGCTGTCTAATTGACAAACAGAGGCAATTCTCTCTAGGCTGTCAGCACTACAGGCACACACACCTGATGTCTCCTGTTTTGGCCATTACCTCTGGCAGGCTAACGACAGACCAATCCGTATCATAAGACTGTGAACACAGCTGCAACCTAATTTCCTAGTTTGATGCCTAAATGGATGCACAGTGTAACATACAGTCAGTTGGCAGCTTATTAAGTACACCTATTTATTTTAGAGAGGTGTTGATTCATCTGTTTGATCATTCTAGCTTGGTGTACTGCAATGCACAGAGATGAGTTTCTGTTATTTAGCCTATAATCTCACTGATGTAAATGCAGTAGACAAAATAAAAACACCTGTTGCCTGTACAATTTAGTGATCAAAAGCAGTTTCCTAATTCTCTAAACAGTAAAAAAAAAACATTGCCTGTGTACAGGTAGGATTTACTGTTGGACTGCTGTATTAGACTGCATTAGTTTTAGCTAGGTGTACCTAATAATCTGCCAACTGAGGGTTTGCAACATGCTTCTGTCTGTATTGCTATATAGTCTATATGGCCGGCCAGTCAGCCAAAAACAACAGGCCTGCAAGGGTGGCTTTTTAAAGCTTTACAAGGATGAGAGTCAATTTGGACACAAAACTACGGTTCACTGCCAGTGGAGAGCCGTTGTCGGTCAGCATGTCAACAAAGGACGTGTGAATGCATTTACATGCAACACTACCATAGAACAAGCTGAATGCCCAAATCTTAACTCTGTGTTTATATATACATTTGTTTACGTGATAACAATATTGATAGTGAGGCCATATGCCCTGTTGATTCTGTTATTGAGATGTCAGTCTAATTTCCTGGCCATACGGATTGAGTGTGCAGAGCTTTGGAACTGGTGTGTGTGTGTGTGTGTGTGCGCCGCAGGCTGCTTCCTTTGGTGCACTGGCAGTCCGTGTGTGTGGTGGGTATGACAGTCCAAATGTCTGCATAGATCCCTCTTTCCTGTCCCCTGTGTTGGTGAACAGGTGGAGCGA